GGCACTGTGAGAGTAAAGTGTCTTGCCCAAGAACACAACACAATGTCCCTGGCCAGGGCTCGAACCCGGACCGCTCGATCCGGAGATGAGCACACTAACCATGAGGCCACCGCGCCTCCCACGGACAAGCCATTGCCCACCAAAAAATCATATACAACCAAAAGGTTAGAAAAAAAATTAATGCCTGAGAAAATTACCTAACCTCCCCCCGGCTCAAAAAAAATAACGGTCTCTCCCTATGTTTTGGCAGACTGAAAAAGTCTAGCAGATAACCATCAACAAAGGAATTCAAATCCGCAATGGCTCTGGTAGAGAGAAAAATTGTACCGTCAAGAACTCTGGGGATCCGGTCTGTGTGCAGTCATTATTTGTTAGATATTAGAAAAGATAGTTATGTTACACAACTAAGAGTATTAAATGATATCATTATCTGAGTTAAATATTAAAATATTCACGATAACTCGTCACATCCTGAGAGGTTCCTTTTCTCCATTGCGTGGAAGTAAGCAAATTTCTTCTGTTGTCATCTGCAGCAATGTACTCGACTGTATTTGTAGCAAGTGGAATAACTGTTTTTATTTCACTTGTGCTCATATTGTTTTTGTTTCTTGACTCTGAAATATCGTTTCTTGACTTTGAAACATTGTTAACATTGTCGCTTTCAGGTAATAAATCTCCGTATTTCAGTCTCGACTACTTCACGGGTAGTAGTTTTACAATCGTCAAGTGATTTTTTTTCTCGGGAGATTTCCAAATTAAGCGGCCCACGCTTTTAGTAAAGCCCATTTTTTCTTCACTCTTCAGTTTGACAGCTTTTCTCGTCGCTTGCTCGGTCCCTCCGAGAGATTTACACTGGGTCATGGAATTAAGACACCTTTCTCTCTCTCTTTGATGTGTTATCTGGCCTGCAGCCATTGCAGACTAATAAAGAAGAGAAGATGACAAAAAAGAAGCAAAGTTCTTGGACTGCCATCGACACTTCCTGACGACTTTGTTCTTCGTGCTTGCATTTGAACTGTAAAAACAAGTAAATAAATAAATCAAATAAGATAAACAATAAAATAAAACATAAAAACGTAAAATAGTGATGGTTGTTACAAGCTGTATAGCTCTGCACTTCTTGGACGTATTTCAGTCAGGCGTTCTTCGTAGTGAAAAAAAAGGGATCTGGGTTCTACCCAAGCCGCAGTGCGTGAGGTTGCGGCGATGTTGCGGCGTGGAAGATCATATTTAGGTTGGGTAAGTAAAATTCTTTTGTTTTTATGCCATTTCTACAGTTGCAAGAAGTCCTGTGCGACCTTTGATATATGCGTAGTTTTTCTTGTTATTCGCGCTTTGCTTTTCAAAAACATTTGGTTAAACTCGAGCTAAGACGGCGATGTTTTGAGATTCTGTTCTCCCACCACGTGGTCAACGATCTTGGCAACACCGTAACTTTAAAATAAAAGTCTGACTGACCTTTCCCAGCGCTGACTTTTTTCGATTTTGGACCAAGGATGTAGTGACCTCCATGTATTACTTTAAAGGCTGCCACCTGGAAATGATAAACGTTCTCGTTCTCCCGACCCAATAGTGGGATTTGCTCTCTTCTTTTCGACTTTGCAACATCGACAGTTTGCATGTCTCTCCTAGTACTCCAGTAAAATATCTAAAAGAGGAAATGCAAGAATATCAAAGCATTGACAAGTACATAGAAGCTTACTCAATTTGAACCACACATTCAACCATTATAGTCGGGTTCTGTTCTGAATATATGGGGAAAATAATAGCATTTTTTAATAGCTTTCAAGAAAAACAGCCGTTTAAGCTCAATTTACTAATTACTATTCACACGGAGTTTTAGAACATGGTTCATTATCGGTCCTAAGTCAGTAAAAAAGAAAAAAAAAAGCAACAACAACAACAGCCAATCAAAACAAAAAAACGCAAAACATACAAAAATCACCAAAAGAAACAAACAAACACAAGAAATTATACACATTTCTTGTAATTTCAGATGTGCGTGCAACGATTCGCAACGTTGCTAGAAAACATGGAGGAGTATTTTTTTAACTCTTCTTGACAGAATTTGTTCAACCTACCCGGAATCCTTCGATATCTGTCAGTGAACTTTTCCACGTTAACAATATTTCCTGGTTCATGTCCTTAAACTCTGCTGTCACATTGCGGGGTGGGCCTCCAGGTGCTAAAATCGGAAGAAGTTTAATAAATCCATGAAAATAAGTGTTGTATTTTTTTCAAACGTTATGTCAGGGCAATTTTGTGAGAAGGAGCTGGATCAAATTGTAATATATTATTGTGGTAAACAAGTTTTATCAAGGCCCTATGTTCAATAGATCAGCAACTTGATTATTGCTAAAACAATTAGAACTTGTCGGGTTTCATTAAGGGATGGGCTCCAGGCAAATTGAGTGGCCGTGAGGGTGATTTTGCCCACCTGGTTTGACCATTTAGAGAAAAGTTTTTCTGATAAAGAAGTACAGTTCAGAAAGTTTTGCTCGTCTGTGAAAACCAGTTGTCCTCCTGCTGAAAACGTTAATGACACCCCTGACATGTACATTACTTATCTAAGTGACGACCATTATGATGATGATGATGATTATTGTTATTATTATTATTAATATTATTATTATTTATTTATTTTTTGCGGGGGAGGGGTTGGGGGTTGGGCAATTTTTCTGGGGCATGAACTTTTTTTTCTCACCTTTAGGTTGTGCATGATCTTTTTTTGTGGGTAATAGCTTGTGCAATAATTTTTTTTCAAGTCAAACACAGGACTTGGATAGTAGAAAGCACTTGCTTGATTTTTTTTCCTGTGGCATGATTTTTTTTCAGCAATTTTTGCTGTGCAGGAATCTTGTTTTGAAATCGCCCAATCCCCTCCCTCTCAAAAACTTAATGGTCTGTCCCTAATAAAGAGAAACTGTGTGTAGATGATAAAAANCCCCCCCCCCCCCTTAAAAAATAATGGTCTGTCCCTAATTAACCATGATGCTAACCTGCTGTTAGATCAAAAGTTGCTAACACTGGTGGACCCTTGCCGATTCTATTTACAGCCAGTACTGAGACTCTGTAGGTGTCCTGTGGATTGAGCTGGGGCATTCTTAATTCAGTGCGACTGTCATTTGTTCGCCATTTCTTTACCACCCCTGTTTCTGGCAATTTCCAGACAGAAACTTGATAATCAATGATGATGCCGTTAGCCCTTTCAGGAGGACTCCACTGCAGCAAAATGTACGTTTGGTTTTGCACAATCAGGGCAAGTCCACGTGGCCTTTCTGGAACTGCAAGTGATGGAGAAAACATAATCAATGAGGTGGGTGGCTTTTTAAGCTGAATGCCAATGGTCTGTTTAATCTAATACTGAAACTGTTGAAGCTATTTTATCACTGACCCTGTTACAACATGTTGGAAGATGTTTGTTGGACAGATGTTTGATCGCATGTCATACTTCTAGCTAACATGTTCCAGCATTTGAGAAGACATGTAAAGCAAGGTCTAAATATGCTGAAAGATGTTACATCAATAAAAGCTAGGAGTGTTGGATAAAATGTTTAAACTGTAGGTGGTGTTCAAAAATATTTTTATTACCCAGCATAACGGGTACAAAATGCATGCAGAGGGCTATCAACCTGCAGGCAAAGTAATTTATTACAACTGAACCCTGGTAATCTGGTCACCAACAGGCCACAAAAATATGGCTGTATCATTGCATTGGTGCCATATTAAAGGGGCTGTAATAATGAGTTGGCCTTATGAATAGGGTGGCTCTAGGGTGGGCTTCCACTGTACCTTCAATTATAGGCATGCAAAATATGCAATAACTCTTTGCACGCATTGCGAGCTTATGGTAAGGTTTGACACTTACCATTGTAAGCATGAAATGCATACAAAGGCTAATGAATAAAAGTTACTAAAAGAACAAAAAGACAATTATACCTTACTTTTATTACAACATAATTATGGTAGTAAAAAAATTATGGTCTACTAACAACTTTGTGGACAAAGAAATCTTTGCCCTTTTTCCCGGCTGCATATTCCTGTGTGATTATTGGTGCCATTAAATTCTGTGCAATTGTGAATATAATTGAAAGTTTACTTGAATTATGTGTTATAAAACAAGATTTAAAAAAAAAACGCACACAAACAAACAAAAACAGACCTGTGCAGCTGATTGTTTGATAGTCAGTTGTCATCAAGGGCCGATTTTGAGTCCAAGCTCAAGAATCAGTTTTTATGCCATTTAACAATGTAGCTAGAACTTTTCCCAACAGCACACTCTCATTAGCTACTTTGGGGTCAAATGACATCAACCGATGAACCTGTCTTATGCCAAAAGTCTCTGAGGGGCTGACATTGCAGAAGGTTACAGTGCACTGTTACCTGTGCATGCGGTCTGACAACTTATGACGGCTATTGAATGTCAAATCTCAATTCTTTTTAAGGTGGAGCCTTGAAAAACATTGAGATTCTCAGGGAATAAAATTAACTGAAATTTACCATTAACCATAATTCATATTTGCATTGCCAAATCTAAAAACAAACAAGCTTTAGACAAACTTACAGTCTTACTAAGGTCATGCACAGGGGTGGATCCAGGATTTTTCTTAGGAGGGGTGCACCACTAAGGAATGGCGTAACTGACATGTGAGGTAAACGAATTTTAAAAGCGAATACTAAGAAGGCTTCAGCTTAAGGGGGGGGGGTGCGCACTCCTGCACCCTCCCCCTAGATCTGCCCCTGATACAGTGACTAGCCTGCGAACATGGATATATTTCCGGCTCGCCAAGACAAGCGATGGCCAGAAATACATCTGCAGGCCATACAGTGACCAGTAACAGTAGATGAATACTATTTTATAATACACGCAGGAGACACTTACTTGACTCGGGTGTGGTTAGGGGTCCCACAACATTACTAGCTGGGCCATCACCCACACTGTTGTAAGCAACAACTTGAAACCTGTAGGATGTGTACGCTTGCAGATGTAAGGTTGTAGATGTGTCAATTGTCGCCTTGTATTCTGATTGGGGTGGAGGTATCTGACCACTTGGAGCCTTCCAGAAATACACCTGCAATATGAATGAAAAAGCACACTCACTTAGTCGTCTTAGCTTTTTACTACAGGATCAAAAAAAAAAAACTTGAATTCTAGCTTGCCCTTGGAACAAGTAGCTCTCACATTTTGTTGTCGTGGGCAAGTCTTAGTTTGCTCTTTTAGATATTTAGTTGGTAGACAACCTGCCTGATACTTTGTACATTGGGCAAGTGAGAATGAAAAGCTACTTTTCCCCGACTTACTTGCCCAGAAGGAAATTCTACATGTCCAGGTCACGACTCTACAGCATTGTTTTTTCGAGCCCTGGACAACTAGAGTAATGTGATTTATTATACAAAAAAGGGGAAAAAAATGTCTTTGACCTTGTCTAGTTTATATTATACATTTGGAATTATATATTACCTGTAATTATTTCAAGAAAGAAAGTTCTTGAAATTATTAGTAATATTGGCTTGTATAGAATGCAGATTACTGTTAACGCACCATAGATTCAGATTTCATGTCACGAATACACAGCCCTTTCTGAACTGATAATAAAAAAGCTCTTGTCCATAAGACGTACTTTCTGGGTAATCACATGCAACTAGAAATAATTTATTATTAATAATGTTATCAGTGCCCATACCTTGTAGCCTAACAATTTGCCACGCACTGCCTGCCTTGTATCTGAGACTCCGGTCCAGGTTGCATAAGCTGATGTCGGTGATGTTATACGGACATCAAGATCTCTTGGAGACCCCACTGGTACTAAAAAGAAAAATAACGTGAAAGGTTTAGTTACGCAAATCCTACGGGCTTGGTGACATCATTTGGGATCCTGTCTACATCTGGACAGAATGACCTAGTGAAATTTCTAGTGTTCATGCAACAGCTGCATCCCAATGGCTGAGCTTGTAATGAAACCAAAATAACACAATCAACTTTGTTGTATCACAGCAGTTGCAAATAACCTAGCGCGCCAATCAACGTCTGTCTAAATTGATTGACTAGTAAGTGTTGTCTACAGTCCCTCCCGGGGGGGGGGGGGATACTTCCAGAAAAGTTGGGTGGGGGTGTACTACCCACTTCCCAAAACCCTTACCCTATATGATCTACCCCACCCTATTAATGACTGTTGCGGCTGGCGCAGTTGCCGTAAACGTAAGTCATGAAGGGCTTTTGTTGACATTCCTATTGCCGGATGATGAAAAAGCACCTTCCTCTAAGAAACATACCCAATTCAAGATTAGAGTGCTAAAACCATACCCTATTCAAGACCAAAATGGCCAAAATCGATACCCTATTTATGACCAAAACGACTGAAAAACGGCCTACCCTGGTGCCGCTCATACCTATATAGCCCATATAAGGGAGTACCCACCCCGGGTCTATAGCACGTTTCAATTTGGTGTTGTATCATTTACACCATTACTATTGATTCCAAAATCTTGTGAAGTAGTTCAAATCGACGACACAAGTCAAAACAAAAAGCTCTTAATACTTTGGATTTTCCTAAACAATTTTGCGATAAGTAGCTTTCCTTTGATTGCTGATGGTGGCTTAATAAACTTAGCTTAGCACACACGAGCCTACTCATGCTTAGATGCAATATTAGAATGAGCTTTTCTGTAAACTTCACTCACGTTTGTCACCTGAGTAACCGAAAACAACCGGGCTTTTGGCTCCAAAACCAATATCATTAGCAGCTTGTATTTGTAACACATACATGCCTACTCATGCTTAGATGCAAACATTAGAATATACTTTGCTGTAAACTTCACGTACTTTTTTCCTCTTAGTAACCGAAAACAACCGAACTTTTGGGTCCAAAGCCAATATCATTAGCAGCTTGTATTTGTAACACACACGTCTGCTCATGCTTAGATCCAACAACAGCAACAACAACAACAATAGTTTATTGACACTCCCCTGATGGGGCTTTTCAGTGACAATACAAGGGAGCTAAACTAATTAAGTTAAAAGAAGTGGTTTACAATTCAGTTAAAAGGGAAAGAATACGATACAAACATTAAAATAAACGTTTCTTTAAACTTCACTCACTTTTTTCTCCCGAGTAACCGAAAACAACTGGGCTTTTGGGTCCAAAGCCAATATCATTAGCAGCTTGTATTTGAATCATGTATTTCACGTAGTAATCCGCACCCATTACATGAATTGATGTGTCATTTTTGACGTCACTCCTAGACAGCTGTCCTTTACCATCAGCCCTTTGATGATAGACAACATAGTAAAACCCAGGCCCGCTGTGGTCGATGGGTGGAAGGGGTTGCCACGTGATCTTTAGTGTAGAGGGGGATGTTCCTTCGGTTCTCACCTCGCTAGGATATTTGCTGGGAGCTGAAGCCAGAGATAGTGATAATATCATAATTAGAACCTTCACCACTAAAGTGACGACTCTATTTATTTAGAATTGTCAGACTTGAACTTATAAATGGGTTAGTCTTTCCACAGACCGTCTATTTAAGAATTAGATTATGTGCTCGAGATTTCTATTGCGCATAGAAATCAAGAGCAAATAATCTAATTATTTTAGTGTACATCTACTAGTCTTTCAAAAGTAAATCCTCTGCACAAACCCATCAAAAACGCAAACGAGCGGACCGCACACAGCTACGCTACTCACTATCTACAACAGAATAGATAGCGTAGCCAACCAGCGAGCGGCATTCGTGATAGAACACAAGTAGAGTTATAATAATATCTGTTATAACTTGGTCAAGATCGCAATGCCCTCTTGCAGTTTCATATCTAAAATGTCTGTAAGTACCGGAAACTATAGGACCTACAAAATACTCCGGCGAAGAAAACCCTTTTACACGTAACGTTTGTCCGTTCTTCAATGTTCATGAACCCTGCCATCGCTATGCATATTTATCTCGTGACTGCAAATTATTGAAAAGTTTATTTTTAAGAAACTAGCTTGTTTATTTGTCGCGTGTTTATTGACCTATTCATCCATAAAATTTTTGTTTTTCTGTTCATATATATATTTTTTATGCTGTATATTTAGTGTAAGGCTAAACCAAGTAATGAGTCTCGCTCAGAGCAGCTGTTGGAATTTGTGTGTAAGACTGGCCATCAGTGAAATGAAATTTAGTGAATATTTGCTTTTGCGCGATACTGTATAATACTGTACAAGGTCTTACTAACGTTTAACGAATTGGATGGAACCCTCTATAAGACCACGCATTTGAATGAAACCTGATAATAGATATTTGTCTGCTGGCAAGACGTGCCCTAGCCTGTTCCAGACTCCCGGTAGTTGGGGACGAGCGAGTAAAAAAGGCGAGCGAGAGAAACAACGAGGGAGGACTAAGGTGAGGAAGGGAAGGGACGTTCCTCGCCTTAGTCCTCCCTCGTTTTTTCTCTCGCCAGGAGCCCATTACCCCTTTTTTGTCGCTCTTCCCCAGCTATGTTTTATATAATTCCCTTCTAGTCTGAAACGTCTCGCCTCATACTCTTTGAGAGAAAAACAGACTGCAAACACAAGCACTCAAAGAAGTTTCAAAGGACTCTAACTAGAACTTACCTGCAGAAGGGGCTTGGAAACTAGGGGACAGAGCGCTTGGTGTACTGTTTCCAACGTCGTTGATAGAGACAACACGGAACGTATAGCGTACCCATGGAGACAGTGCTATTTGTGTCCAGCCCTTCTCGGGTTCAGTTTCCTCAACAATCACGTGCCATATTTTGGGCGCAAACTGTGTCGTGTGTTCAATGATGACTTTCTTTATTGGACTATCATTTGATTTGCCCAAGGTCCAGGTTACATTGATAAATTCTCCTCTGGTTTTTCCATAGTTGATATTCACGTTTGTCGGTGGATCAGGAGGACCTGTTTGAGATACGCGCAAAAAAAAAAAATGAATTCTAGTCCGGCATAGGCTAACTAATTATTCGGTCACCAACGGACCACAAAAATCTGGGCGTATTAACGAGCTAACCGTATTAAAGGGGTTCTTTAAACAAGAAAATGACTGACTGAGCTTTTGTTCAGGCCAGAATAAACTGGCCAGAATAACGAGGAGGCCGTAAGGCAGGATTTCACTGTACAGTCACTGCAGGAGGTTATTGTGTTTTCCGTACCTTAAAGTAGCTAGGAGTGCTGCTATCTGTAATCTCTCTGGCCAATCACAAAGGACATAAACAACACAGAGAACCAATCATAACTCGAAGCAAATTCATGTATCTTACGCGAAGCGCGGGAAAACGTCTGCAAGCGAGTCACGATTCGTGGTGGTTTTGGCCGTTCTTTAATCTTTTTAACAGCAACACTGTACATAAACATAATTTTTTTACCTTTAACTTTCAGTATCACGTTCTTGACAGCAATGGTCTTTTTGCTGCCCACTATCTGGCAGGTGTAGAGGCCTGAGTCAGAGTACTGGGCGCCAGTGATTTTCAAGTAGCCCCTCATGTCACTGGTATGCGACAGACGGTCCATGCTCTCTGTTCTGGTGATTTGCACGTGATTGTTAGACACGATTGGGACAACATATCTGGACCACTGAAATGTGACCTCTATTGCACCAATTGTTTTTACACCGCACATAATCCTGATGTCTCGCCCGAGGACAACTGAAGTCGATCGATTCATGTTTTTGGTGAAGATGATGTAGTCTAGGATGAAACAACGGTAAATTGGCTCAACGCTAATGTCATGGACAGGGTTTCATTAACGTTTTCGCAGGAGGGCAACTGGTTTTCACAGGCGGACAAAACTATCGTGTACGGTCATACTTCGAGCTCTGTTCTGACCAAAAAATTCCCGGGAGGAGGGGGGAAAACTGATATGAAAAGGCCGGGGATACTCGTCGGAAAATTTGAATTAAACCCCTATAAAGGAGACCAATCTGGGTGTGGCTTGAACTTTTTTATTTCGTCAATTGCACCCTGAAAGATAATTTGACGGCTAAAAATAGTGGCGTTTCTTCATGACCACTCTTAATATGAGAGTTCCTCCACCCTTCCCCCGCACTTCGGGCCAAAAATGCAGCGAAATCACTGTTATAGATTCCAGGGGGTGGAATTCAAACAGAACCGAAAGTATTTAGACCTTACCGAGGACGTTGAGATGTCCCTTCCTTGCAGCTTTGCCCAGTCTGTTAGAAGCCTCGCAGATGTAATAGCCGGAGTCTACTTTCGTAACATTACTGATTCTTAAATTTCCATTTGACAAAATCCGAAACCTGCTGTTGCTTTTGAGGTTCAAAGAGCCATTGAAGAGCCAGCGAATGGTAGGCTTGGGTTCTCCTGTTGGTCGACATGTCAGCTCAACACTTGTGTGGATAAGTACATTTGTGTTGGGTTGTGGAACTTTGCTGCCTGGGCCAAATCCAGCAGGAATTTCTGAAGAGATAGAAAGCAAAGAAAATGTGCATTTGCTAAAACCTTGAATGCTTAAAGATCCCGTTTGTGCTTGAAGTTTGTTGAGGTACTAGATATATGCAGTTTTCTCATCGTGCATTGACATTGAGTACAGTTTTGAATATGCACCAGAAGTATATTTATGGACTATAGAACTACATTCAGTCATTTAATCATTTTCTAATGGATGGTGCTATCAGTGATTCAATCAGTTCTTCCGTCCGTCCGTCTGTCCGTCAGTCAGTTGAGTGTATCCTGTGTGACATGCAACACCAGATCACTGTTGCTTTTCCATCTACTGTCTGTCAGTCTGTCAGTTAGTTCTATTCACCAATCCGTCCCTGTGTCCGTCCGTCCGTCAGTCCGTTTGTCCATTCGTTTATGTGTCCATCCAGGGATATTCAAGCTTGCAATAACTTTACATACGAATTCCGTAAATATTGATAATTTTACCTGAAACAGTGAGCTCAATATCGGCATGTAACTGGCCATGTTTGTTGTTAACAAAACACTGGTACATGCCATTGTCTTGACGTGTCAAGTCTTTTATTGTCAAGTTTCCACCAGTAATGTTGTGTCTGTTTGTCCATATGAGGGGTTTTCCATTCAAGAACCACGTGTATGTTGTTCTTGGTATTCCGAAGGCGATACAGGGTATGGTGACTGTGGTGTTCGATCCTGCTGTAGTGTGCCTTGGCTTCAGGATCCACTCCGGTTTAGCTGTAGAAAACAAATCACACTTTCTGTTACTCAAGAAGATCCACACAGTCAGGGAAGTGCGTTCCAATCATTTTGATAGCAAAACAACAACAACAACAATAACAACAATACTCTTCGGTATTATGAAGCGACGAGTGGTATCGCTCCTCTCCCGGAATGCAGGGTGCACCAAACTCTCTCCGATTGTGCGGAATAGGTCGAAATTAGAGTCGGACAAATTTCAAGGCAACGGGCTTAGTCCCGCGCGGCCAAAATGTAACCATCACGCACTCAACTTGCGTTGACTTAGGTCGGGTGGCCAAACGGTGAACAACTTGCGTCGACTTGCGTGTAAATTTTATCTCGACCAAAGAGAGCGTAAGTTATCGCAAGTCAACACACGTGCACGCAAGTCCTGGCCAAACGAGCGCGCAAGTAGACCCCTGACCCAAGATTTCAACTTGCGTCTACTTGCGACAGAGCAACTTTATACCTTCCATTCTTATTACTGTAGTTTTTGTGTCTGACTGTCCTGCCTTGTCACTGGCCCTGCATTTGTACTTCCCTGCGTCATCGGGACCAAAGCTGTCGATCACCAGTCTGTTGACGTTCCCTGTCGTTTTTCCTAACGGCGCATGGATTCCTTTCTTTACCAGTTTGATTCTGGGGACTGGTCTGAAGTTAAGGTAAAAAGAAAAAAAACTTGAACCCTTGCTGGAGAAAATTGACACTTTATGAAGTATATTCAAGGTCATGAGGCGACAAACTTTGTTACTAAACATAGACATCAGCTTTGTGAAATCTATGAGCCAAATTAATGATTTCACGCTGCTACTGTGCACACTGCTATCGCTAATGCTACAGCTTCTGCTAGGGATCAATCATGTCTCGATATCTTTCTCCGCAGTTCAAATACATTATCTTTCATATATTTACTTGCATCTTCATCATCTACGGGTATTTTACGAACTCACGGCTTGACCAGCTCCCAGTTGGCTTGATGGCTCAGTTGGTAGAGAACTGCACTAGTATTGCATAAGTCATGAGTTGGAATCCCATTCAAACCTGAATTTTTTTTTGTCGGTCAGGCTTTAATTTCAAAGCTGCTTAAGCTGTGTATGTAATTGCGATGATCAATCATGTCTTCATGCTAGTGTCATTGTTGCTGATTCTGTGCCTCTTTCGTCACTGCTTCTACTTATGTTAATACTTCATTGTATAAGTTGTTTCACAACTGCAAACGCTCAATTAATCTACCGCATCCAAGCTGGTTCAGTGTGCTTACCTGCCGTAAACAATACACTCTAGGACAAATTGTTNAAAAAAAAAAATTGAATTCTAGTCCGGCATAGGCTAACTAATTATTCGGTCACCAACGGACCACAAAAATCTGGGCGTATTAACGAGCTAACCGTATTAAAGGGGTTCTTTAAACAAGAAAATGACTGACTGAGCTTTTGTTCAGGCCAGAATAAACTGGCCAGAATAACGAGGAGGCCGTAAGGCAGGATTTCACTGTACAGTCACTGCAGGAGGTTATTGTGTTTTCCGTACCTTAAAGTAGCTAGGAGTGCTGCTATCTGTAATCTCTCTGGCCAATCACAAAGGACATAAACAACACAGAGAACCAATCATAACTCGAAGCAAATTCATGTATCTTACGCGAAGCGCGGGAAAACGTCTGCAAGCGAGTCACGATTCGTGGTGGTTTTGGCCGTTCTTTAATCTTTTTAACAGCAACACTGTACATAAACATAATTTTTTTACCTTTAACTTTCAGTATCACGTTCTTGACAGCAATGGTCTTTTTGCTGCCCACTATCTGGCAGGTGTAGAGGCCTGAGTCAGAGTACTGGGCGCCAGTGATTTTCAAGTAGCCCCTCATGTCACTGGTATGCGACAGACGGTCCATGCTCTCTGTTCTGGTGATTTGCACGTGATTGTTAGACACGATTGGGACAACATATCTGGACCACTGAAATGTGACCTCTATTGCACCAATTGTTTTTACACCGCACATAATCCTGATGTCTCGCCCGAGGACAACTGAAGTCGATCGATTCATGTTTTTGGTGAAGATGATGTAGTCTAGGATGAAACAACGGTAAATTGGCTCAACGCTAATGTCATGGACAGGGTTTCATTAACGTTTTCGCAGGAGGGCAACTGGTTTTCACAGGCGGACAAAACTATCGTGTACGGTCATACTTCGAGCTCTGTTCTGACCAAAAAATTCCCGGGAGGAGGGGGGAAAACTGATATGAAAAGGCCGGGGATACTCGTCGGAAAATTTGAATTAAACCCCTATAAAGGAGACCAATCTGGGTGTGGCTTGAACTTTTTTATTTCGTCAATTGCACCCTGAAAGATAATTTGACGGCTAAAAATAGTGGCGTTTCTTCATGACCACTCTTAATATGAGAGTTCCTCCACCCTTCCCCCGCACTTCGGGCCAAAAATGCAGCGAAATCACTGTTATAGATTCCAGGGGGTGGAATTCAAACAGAACCGAAAGTATTTAGACCTTACCGAGGACGTTGAGATGTCCCTTCCTTGCAGCTTTGCCCAGTCTGTTAGAAGCCTCGCAGATGTAATAGCCGGAGTCTACTTTCGTAACATTACTGATTCTTAAATTTCCATTTGACAAAATCCGAAACCTGCTGTTGCTTTTGAGGTTCAAAGAGCCATTGAAGAGCCAGCGAATGGTAGGCTTGGGTTCTCCTGTTGGTCGACATGTCAGCTCAACACTTGTGTGGATAAGTACATTTGTGTTGGGTTGTGGAACTTTGCTGCCTGGGCCAAATCCAGCAGGAATTTCTGAAGAGATAGAAAGCAAAGAAAATGTGCATTTGCTAAAACCTTGAATGCTTAAAGATCCCGTTTGTGCTTGAAGTTTGTTGAGGTACTAGATATATGCAGTTTTCTCATCGTGCATTGACATTGAGTACAGTTTTGAATATGCACCAGAAGTATATTTATGGACTATAGAACTACATTCAGTCATTTAATCATTTTCTAATGGATGGTGCTATCAGTGATTCAATCAGTTCTTCCGTCCGTCCGTCTGTCCGTCAGTCAGTTGAGTGTATCCTGTGTGACATGCAACACCAGATCACTGTTGCTTTTCCATCTACTGTCTGTCAGTCTGTCAGTTAGTTCTATTCACCAATCCGTCCCTGTGTCCGTCCGTCCGTCAGTCCGTTTGTCCATTTGTTTATGTGTCCATCCAGGGATATTCAAGCTTGCAATAACTTTACATACGAATTCCGTAAATATTGATAATTTTACCTGAAACAGTGAGCTCAATATCGGCATGTAACTGGCCATGTTTGTTGTTAACAAAACACTGGTACATGCCATTGTCTTGACGTGTCAAGTCTTTTATTGTCAAGTTTCCACCAGTAATGTTGTGTCTGTTTGTCCATATGAGGGGTTTTCCATTCAAGAACCACGTGTATGTTGTTCTTGGTATTCCGAAGGCGATACAGGGTATGGTGACTGTGGTGTTCGATCCTGCTGTAGTGTGCCTTGGCTTCAGGATCCACTCCGGTTTAGCTGTAGAAAACAAATCACACTTTCTGTTACTCAAGAAGATCCACACAGTCAGGGAAGTGCGTTCCAATCATTTTGATAGCAAAACAACAACAACAACAATAACAACAATACTCTTCGGTATTATGAAGCGACGAGTGGTATCGCTCCTCTCCCGGAATGCAGGGTGCACCAAACTCTCTCCGATTGTGCGGAATAGGTCGAAATTAGAGTCGGACAAATTTCAAGGCAACGGGCTTAGTCCCGCGCGGCCAAAATGTAACCATCACGCACTCAACTTGCGTTGACTTAGGTCGGGTGGCCAAACGGTGAACAACTTGCGTCGACTTGCGTGTAAATTTTATCTCGACCAAAGAGAGCGTAAGTTATCGCAAGTCAACACACGTGCACGCAAGTCCTGGCCAAACGAGCGCGCAAGTAGACCCCTGACCCAAGATTTCAACTTGCGTCTACTTGCGACAGAGCAACTTTATACCTTCCATTCTTATTACTGTAGTTTTTGTGTCTGACTGTCCTGCCTTGTCACTGGCCCTGCATTTGTACTTCCCTGCGTCATCGGGACCAAAGCTGTCGATCACCAGTCTGTTGACGTTCCCTGTCGTTTTTCCTAACGGCGCATGGATTCCTTTCTTTACCAGTTTGATTCTGGGGACTGGTCTGAAGTTAAGGTAAAAAGAAAAAAAACTTGAACCCTTGCTGGAGAAAATTGACACTTTATGAAGTATATTCAAGGTCATGAGGCGACAAACTTTGTTACTAAACATAGACATCAGCTTTGTGAAATCTATGAGCCAAATTAATGATTTCACGCTGCTACTGTGCACACTGCTATCGCTAATGCTACAGCTTCTGCTAGGGATCAATCATGTCTCGATATCTTTCTCCGCAGTTCAAATACATTATCTTTCATATATTTACTTGCATCTTCATCATCTACGGGTATTTTACGAACTCACGGCTTGACCAGCTCCCAGTTGGCTTGATGGCTCAGTTGGTAGAGAACTGCACTAGTATTGCATAAGTCATGAGTTGGAATCCCATTCAAACCTGAATTTTTTTTTGTCGGTCAGGCTTTAATTTCAAAGCTGCTTAAGCTGTGTATGTAATTGCGATGATCAATCATGTCTTCATGCTAGTGTCATTGTTGCTGATTCTGTGCCTCTTTCGTCACTGCTTCTACTTATGTTAATACTTCATTGTATAAGTTGTTTCACAACTGCAAACGCTCAATTAATCTACCGCATCCAAGCTGGTTCAGTGTGCTTACCTGCCGTAAACAATACACTCTAGGACAAATTGTTCTCCCTTTATGGCCGTCCTTGGCGCGCTGAAATCATCAGATACACTTGGTGGCTTGTTCAGTGGAACTTGTCCTGTTAATGTAAATAACGAACTAGTGTTTTTTTGGCTTGGTCAAGTCTCTCTGAAACCAGGTAGGGCATCAAGTGCATGTATCAATAATTATGTATGCAGGGCATAAATTATCCTATATTTTCCTGGCTATACGTGGCAGGAGCATTGGCCTCATGATTAGTGCGCTCAACTCCGGGACAAAAGGTGCAGGCTTTAGTCCTGCCAGTTACGTTGTGTTGAGTTCTGGGCGCATTTTATGCTGGGGGTAACCCTACGATGAACCAGCATCCCATCCAGGGGGGAGTAGAAGTATTCCCAGTCGCTTTATGCTACCGAAACCGGAGGTAAGCGCAGGCCTGATGGTCCACTTCGCTTCGAAAAAATGTGCAAATGTTCTTGCTTATAGTGGTGAATGCACCGGCTTAGTTACGCCTAGCTAGTTCACAGCGCATGTCACTTAAAACTGAAAGAAACAAATATAGCTACTAAACATAATAGGGTTAAAAGTCGCAACAGGCGGGAAGCAGACCAGCTGGCCATTTACAAGCATGACCGAGCAGTTGAACTTTGGTCTACCGAGAAGCAACTCCAGCTAAGTGGTCAGAGCGGGACTTGAACACGCCACCTTCGGATTTCAAGTTCGGCGCCCTCAGTGACCTCTCGGCCACGCTGCCTCATTGTATGCAGACTTTAGTTTTTCTTACTTACCTGGCGATACAAAAAGAGAAACCGTTCTGACAACTTTCTTGGTTATGAACACATTAGTGACAGTGCATACGTAAACTCCTGCATCTGACTTCTCTAGAAAAGCAAAGTGCAGGCCCCCCTCTTGGCTGATAGCTCGGCGTGGTGACTGGCTCGGCAGCTGATTCCCCCCTTTCGTCCATTTGATTGTACGGTGTGGAAAAGAGTCTGGAGCATTGCATCTTATGATGAGATGCGATCCCTCTTCGCCGTCAACACCCCAGTCGCCGACACCAGTGAATGGATTAAGATCTGGGGAGGATGTAGATACATCATTGAGCGTGTTGAGGTAAAGAGCCGGTAATACATTATGAACGTAATGCTCAACAGCTACCATTTAAATGGCCACGGACGCAAACCACCTTGTTCAGCATACTGAACAGTACCACATGAAAGTACTGCTCAATAGCTTTCATTTGAATGGTCGCACACTACGGTTTCATTTAGAGACCTAAAACATAGAACCACCTTGTACAGCATAATACACACCAACATAAGAAATTACCGCTTAATATCTTTCATTAGAACCGACATACTCCAGGGTTTACCCACAAACTTCAAGTAAGTCAGTCAACAATAAACAGAACGTTTTACTCTTCATCAGAAGGTGACATCCACGCTGAGACTCTTATGAGTCGCTTGGCTCTTAGTAAAAGAAGACCGTGTCTCCACACAAAAATGTTTGTAATAAGGTAACAGTGACGCCACTTACAAGCAAATTTAACCCTTGCCGTCCGACTAATGATTGCCCCTTTCCTGTTGGACACCAGACAGTAGTACGAGCCGTCATCTCTACCTTCCAGTGCGTTCTTGACAAGTATAGACCCATCACTAGTTACGTGTATGTGGTTATTCCGCACAGTATTGACTTGCTTGTCGTTGTGATACCAAGTGACAGTGGAGTCTGGGGACTTGATGCACAGAAGGGAGAAACTGGTCGATACTACGGTGACATCTTGAGGCTCGCTGAGAATGACTGGTTTTCGGGTACTACCTGTTGGTAAATGGAGTAAAAAGGTGTTTTTAAAAGAGATACGCTGTGCACGTGGAACGGAGAGCCTTCACCAGAAAGTCCGGAAGTTTTGTTTTGAAAACAGAAGACAACTGTGGTTCGTAGCAACGGATAGTCGCAGGTACTTCACCAGAATTTCTGGAAGTTTTTTGAAAACAGAAAGCAACCGCGGTCAGTGCGTTTGCGGGCTTGAACCCCTGGTCGGATTGCTGAGCTTTGTTCGTGCAATATGCTGCACCATCACAGTGCCTTTTTCCATCCGGGAGTATCGAAGGTTAATTGAATGTTGTAACGTTAGATATTTTCGCTGGTGACTTACTTCCGTAAAGTTCCCACTTTTCAGTCGATAAAGCGAGACAGTTTCTTTAGAAACTGATTCCCTGTAATAATTTTATTTGTCAAGTACCGATTTAGTAGTATTCCTATTCTTTCAGTCAGCTTTTAAACACATTTGCGAGCATACGACATTTTTGTAACGTACTTACCAACTTTCAAGAGCAGTAGTAGCGCAAGTAACTTAATGATGAACACATTATTCCACCAGCTGACGCTCATTTTGTAGTTGATTCATACCTAAAAAGACCGTCAAACAAAGACACAAATAAATAAATAAATTAAATAGATCAAGAAAAAATGTCTAGTTTCTATCAGTAGTAGGCTCGATTAGCAGCCGCTGTTCAGGATAGGAGCCTGTGCTTTTCCCCTTGGGGAGGATCATAGGCCAGACTCGAGAGAGGGGCGGAAGTCGAGTCTTTCAGTAGCCGAAGAGCGCAGTCACTCAATTTCTACAATCTATCGTCGTGTAACGAAGAGTTTCCGGAGTTCGTTGACGGAGCACTAGAGTTTTGCATAGTAGGGAATGTTAGCATGAGAGAACTGAATGCTCTAATACACCANTCTCTGGGTGGTGGTTGAGACACAAGGCTGTGGCAGGTATGATGTAAAATAGAGTTGTTTACCGAATACACTCCCTTATAACCTATTTATTGAATTTTACCAGCTCGTGTGCCTACCTGCTGTAGTTATTGCCGTATCGGAAGCTCTGATTAACACACTACCTGCCAACTCGTGCAATTCATTAAATATTTTGTCTTGCCTGCATGCGACTGCCTCACTACCGCTGTTCGCTACATAATGGGATCTTATTCAAAGGGCAAACAACAATTCATAAGAGAAAAAACAATTGTTTCGTTGCCTAGAAAGCCACATTTTGCATTCAAATGGAGCCTGGGAAAATTTCTGCCTTGTGATTTTTCTCAGAAAAGCCAGGTCGATTTTAATGAGTTAATCTCGTTTTTAGAAAATAATTACAAGTACATAAAATGCCTCGTGTAGTGATGAAGTCGGCAAACTTAAGTCAGTATTTCATGTGAATCAGTTTTCAAAAGATTTATAAAGATTTTCGCAAACTAAACTTTCAACATTGAGGTAAACATTTTCCGAACAGATCTATTTTGATGACTTTACTTGAGAATACAAAGTAATTGACGAATTCCTTCTTTTAAACGTTATAAAGTTTAAAACCATCAGAATTCCCTCGCGCGCGAAGACTAAATTAGCGGGTAGGCTCTTAAACCAAGTTGAAATTTTATGTTCGTCATGAGAGGTAATCCACTCTTTTTGTAAAGAATAAGCCCACTTATTTTCCTTTGACAGAAAAGGGTCTTTAAGTTCCACACTTGATTGATATGCAAATAAAGTTTTCTAACACATTCATAATTGAAAAGTGTCAAATGAATGGAAATTTCTATAGTGTAGTGAAAACAACACTTAGGCACGTCTTTATTACCTATCACCTGCGTACAGATTCAGTCGAAACGTTTTCTTTCGGACGCGTTGAATAACTTTCACCTTTCGTTACCATTCACGCTATTTTTCCTGTGCTAGAGTTTTTTCAATTTTTCTTTGCTTGTTTTTTCCATAAAACCACAGGAAGCAATTTAAACAATTTTGCCACTCCAAATGGCAATTCGCGGACAGTAAATATATATATGTAGAGATGTATACAGATTTGAAACAAGGGCTTTATCGTTTTTCGGGTATAAGATCTAAGGTGCTTAATTTGTCTGAGAAATTCGCTTTGTGTATTTACAGTTTGTGGTGTGTTTTCACACGCTGAGAGACGAAATAAAAATATCTTATCGTAACTTCCGTCCTTGTCAAAATTCTTCGAGTAATCATTAAATTTAACTTGAAGTTTCCAACCTTAAGACGTCAAAACAGGAAACAAAATCTTGAAAATTCAAAGACGGTTTCACGTACGAAAACTGGTTATAACCAGGCAAATTTTGTGAGGCGACTTTGGAGTAAAGATTTAAGTCGTACTTAAGAAAGTTAAAATCAGATTAAATTTTTAAGGCGCAAAATTGCACGTATTTAAAAATAGTGTTCGTACTCGGTTATGAATGTTTACGTACCTTGCTGTATTTCAACTTTTTTTTTCTATTCTTGATACTATCCCTTTGGGCTTGAAGTGTTTCAATCGATCCTCTTGGGAGTATCACGATTACATATCTTAAGAACAACCGCAGGCACAAGTTGAGAATTCGTTCGAAACAAACGAGCTTGATCTCAACAGCAGCACGACTAATATCTAAATGTTAATGTTATGGAGGGGGTCAGGTTATCTTGAGCAAATTATTCTCCGTGCCAGATGTCCTGAAGCCGTCTTGATACATTTACATAGATCAATTAACACTTTTGTATGGATTGCTTTTATCCAATTGTTTGCCCGAGATTGTCCTCCTTATTACAGCTTTCACTTCCTACCAAATTATACTGCGATTGTTGGGGGTTATTTTATTCGCCGCGCTCCTCTTGGCACCGTTCCTCTCGTTATGTGTCGCCTTGTAACTGGTCCACGAACAGGAACTTTGAACATCCTATCAGTTTTGATTATCGCATCTTGTCGTGAATTAAATTTATCGCAACGTTTTTGTCTTTTGGAGTTTTTCGTGTGGTCGTGCATTAATTAAACGTGTAGTTCTGTTTTGTGTAAGCACTGTACCCCGCAAATTTGGCCAAAGTTAATTGAAATAATCTATTTTTATGCCCTATCTAACTTAGTATTTTTTCCGCAGAAAAAACTGATTGGGCAAAGTCTGCAATTACGTGGAACCAAGGTTTCTTACTGAGCAAAAGATTTTTAATTTGCGGCTTGTACTGTTAAATTAGTTCCGAAGTCTATGTCAATTTTATACATTATTCACGCGATAAGCACTACTGCAAGAATCATCATCGAACCAAACACAAAGACATGAAGTCTGCGAGCTAGACCTTAACAGTATTTTTCTGCCATTATAGCTGCTTTGGTTAATTTGAGGAATTTGCGAGAAGGTGAACATTTTATGAGCTTAGTCCATCTCTCTCCTTGCGTCATCGTAAAACCCACACTATAAACTTTCCGGTAGATATTTATCTATTAGCCTAGGGTAGAACGCATTTGGACAACGTTTCATTTGGTGTATATCCGTATACAAGCGAGAGCTCCCTATACGTAAACGGACCCCATCGGCAACCTTTTGTTTTTCTTCCATCGTAATTATCTCACCGAGTGAACAGCTGCCCGTTGTTGATATGATAAAAATCGCGAAACTTCGCGACGTTCGAAGCTTTTAAGAAGATGTTTAGTGGATGAGAAAATTAAAAAATCTGTTGTCTTGGTGGATGGAAATGCAGCGTTTCACTTGACTTCATCTGTAAAGAAGCGCGTTTTATTAATGCTATTTCCGGCGCTTGCAGCTGTACTGTAGCGATTTGTTTACCCTGAACGAAACCGTTGACGCGAGGCACTGAGTGACTGACTTCCTTTTCAATATAAAACGAAACTGAGATTTTAAAAGTATATGTATAAAAAGAAAACTTTAAATTTAACACTCGCTGATTCAGGGGGTGTAATACGACAAATTATTTTACACTTTAATACTTCCGCTCCTTTCTGCCTGCAGCTGAATCTTGTTTAGCCTACAACAGGTCCACAGGTATTTTGGCTCACTTTCAGTGTCTTACTTAAAACTTCTGCTCCAGTTTCTACCGCGGTAAAAGTGTTTATGGCCTCGTCGAAACTTAAATGGAAATTGTAGTGCAGGACATGTATCACGCTGAGGTGCCCAGCACGATTTTAAAACAGATGTATTTCGCCAAGCGACAATTTGAATTTGACATCGCGTGATCTTTACTGGGCGATGTTTCCAAAAATTTGATTCACCATTCGATCCTTGAAAAACGCGTGCGTTTTGTTACAAAAATTGCGCTCTAATTGTGCGATAAGTAACGAATTGTTTTCCAAATAGGGGTGGGTTATTTTTCGAAAACAAGAAGCCGCCAAACGAGACGGGCGATTTTACTGTCTCCTCCAGCATTGTTTGTTTGGAATTGTTCTTATCTAAGATGTCATCTCTTAGTGGGTAACACAAAGATGGTTGCAGAGTGAGACTTAGTTGAAAAGAGTGTTTAGATAACTCTCAGCGCAGCTGTGCCCTGCGACCACGATTCACGATCGATGACAGCTGGCCCCTGAATTGAGATCTAAGGGGATTTTTTTTTTCTTACCTCTTAATAATGGAAAACCTGCTTTCTGAAAAGAAAGATAATCTCATTAACACCATTAGCGTAGGTGTTGATAAGTGCTATTTAACTGTATTCTAATTTACGCGGAAATAAAATAAGTTGCATACTGTACTATACACTACCGTCCGCCCCTTTGTGCACTTTCGCGCCCATTGGAAATGAACACTTTTCCTACGTAATGTAGACAATGATATCAGTCCGTTATAAAGTAAGGGCCGTATCTACGGGCTGATATGGACAAGTTATCAACTAATAATGCCGTAGTATTGTAATTTCATTGTAGTTATTGTTAACATTCCATGCGGTTTTCGTGAGCAAGGGGTTGCTCCGTGACTCTGTGCAAGTACAAATGTGAAGACAATAAGGAAGTCACTGAACTTTATAGAAATGAAGATGGTTTGTTCGACGCAAAAACTTTGGTCAGATTCTATGGGTTCATGGCATCCGTTCACGTGTGTCGGAAGGATCAGACTGTTTTGCACGCTGTGAAATCCTATTAATAGTTGTTAATCGTTTTATTTTGAGATTTCTTCAGATTAGCTAAAGGGTGATATGATCAGATTGCACCGAATTACTTCGCCAGTTCGCTTAAAACCTGCATTTTCCCCCTACTCGATTCATCGCTGTTCTCTTCGCATTTCAACATTGTTCATACACTTTCCAAGCCCCTCATGGGGTTAAACGCATGTTAAACATAGTTAATGCAGATGAAAGTAATTCCGTACTCGATAGGCACGCGAGCAATGAATAGAATACCTTCTTTTAAAGGACCTATACTGTAATAATAAGCTGTGATTTTTACTTTCACTGCGGTATTTAACACTGTGGTTCACTGTCGAGGTGGTTTATTTTCCGCAACATTCTCTGCGTTGAAGCCACTAACCGCAAGACACTGTTCCTGTTGAATTATTCTAAGCAACATAACTAGAAGCAAATTGTGTAAGACTGGCGACTGAGCGGAGTCTAAATTAGAGGCCGATCCTAAAGTGAGATATTTTTAGTCCGGCGGTGTACCGTAACTTTGTATAAGCGCTGATGCTATTTTAATACTGTCCCCAGACTTTGAACTGTTGAGAAATCGTACTTTAAGAATGTACGAAATCGATTTTAATTACACAATGGAAAGAATATTAAACAGTTCGGAGTACTGTCACTAAGTCGGCACTTGTTGTTTGAGGAGTAAGACATGGCTTAATGGAGTCTCTTCAAACGAAAGGGTGCGATTTGTAGACTGAAGAAAAACAAGTTCACTGCTTATACGAATGACTCCTGTGCTCCATATAAACAGCAAAGGAAAACAAATACTCAAGGCAGTATTCAATGGCGCTGATGTTACACTACGTTGAAATATGTACTTGAGGGTTAATCCACTTTGTAAAAGAGAAATGCTTGAAAGCGCGCGCACGGTTGGACGAGAGCTGCGAACTTAACACGGCAATCGAACACACCTGATGGAAATGTAGCCGCGAGATTTATAAGTGAGAGAAAAATCCGGCAGAGTGTTAAGCAAAACAAAATACTCATGCCAAGCCTGTTATTAAGCTTCTTTAGTACTGGCTTTAACGTGTTTTCTAGCCTACCTTTCGTAGTATGCCTCGTACCATCCCCGTCATAGGTTGCGAGGAAGTGTAGCCTCTGCAGTGGATGATCTGCCTCAATCTGCCACTCGCTAGTGCTTGTATAATACTTGGTTTGTTGTGGCGAAGTAAAGGTTTCTTTACGCGCAGCGGGGATGACATTAATACAATGCATGATTGACAGGCGGCCTTACCCAACAGGGCTGTTAAATTAAGAAAGAATGCTATAAATCAAATTTCCGATCATTTATTTTTAACGAGCTTCACTCGCCAGCGAGTTTCGAAGTTTCAGGCGTGTTAAGTACGATGCCTGCGTTTGCCCGCGAGAACTCGCTCGCTGCCTTAACCTTACTAAACCATTCTCGTCGATAGCCCCACTGAATCTTCTTCGATTTATCGACATCTGTGTAATCTTTGGGCGATTTATGTGCGCCACAAATTGACCTTAGAAAGGCTAGAGTTGATCTCTTTATCATATACTTTACAGTCTTTCCTTTTCCACCCCACGCGCTTTTTGATCAAATTCGCGATTACCTTTGGTTAACTACTTGTTTTGAAAGCTGTCTTGTTATCAGGTTGAGTCCCTTTGAGAGCGTTTGGTCTTTGTTTTCTAAACAAAGATTCACACAAAAGAAAGCGTTTCTATCATCAAGTCTTTTATGCCCCTAGTGCCAGGCGTGAAAATTTAAATTCTTAATACAGATTGTCTAACATTTCTCTTGATGTAAGTGGTAAGAATTTCGTGGTTCATATTTTTCTCTTTACTCGCCGCCTGTCTGGTTGACAATAGAGTGATATTGAATTTGTGATTCAAAGGATTTTACAACGATTATTACAATAAAATATTATAATCTAGTATATTTCTCTTGTATCAGGTATCATTAGACCAGCTATAGTTTTATCCCTAAGTTCCTAGGAGTGATGCGGCATCTAATGTGATGTTCTATCAAATTCTCACAATTGTCACTCATAGCAATCCATAAAGTCAGTAAGGAGAGTCTACAGTATGAAGTAAAGAGTAAAAGAACCGCCAAGATTTGGAAAGATTACCACCTAATTACAACAACACGCGATGCTTTTTCGAGTGTCATTAGCAACCAACTTTCATTAAAATGACTATAGTGCTTGCTAAATCCAAGGTCAGCTTCAAAAGTCTTTAGTTTCCACCTGTCCCGGGGGGCGACGGTACTTTCTCAAATGGGCTTCATAGGTTTAGGGCCCCCGCTTCGATTAGCTCTCCTGGCTCTGGAACTAGTTGCGGGGCAGCAATTCTTGAAACTGTATGTAAGGAAATAGCATTAGATTAAAGTTAATGTTAGTTATGTTGAGTTAGTTGAAGTTTGTTCTCAAATAGGCTATGGTTTTTGTATTCCAGTCTTAAACTGGGTATGTTTTTTAGAAGAAGCTACTTCTTCATCATTATCGATGAGACCATCAACAGTACTATAGCCCTCCACAATGCCTTGAACATCGGTCTGAACTGGTAACTAATTGTAAGACAGGTCTGAAACAGGTCAAGGCTTAAATAGGGCCGGGGAAATCGGGGGAGGGGGGATTGGGAAGCAGGTCGCACACCCCCACCTAATTTTTCTGGGAGACCGCCTGGATGTTTCGTCAACCTGAGATCATCGAGAGTGTTGACTAAAGAGGGTTTCTCGGTAGCCATGATGTCTTCCAGATTTTGTTACCCGAGTAGATAAATCTGTAAAAAGTGGATGGTGGATTAGTAATGAATCGAGGGTTGGAGATTAAATTGTTTGTAGATGTATTTATTTCTGCGATTAGAGTAAAAAGGGTCATCACGTTAATAACTTTCCCGAGGCCGGGGTTTGGAGACTCCTCGGGGATGTTCGTCGTCCCGCTTAGGGATGTAAATCACGGACATCGCTCTTAGTTATGTGGTTCAGGACAAAATGCCCTTATTTTTAGCCGTCAAGGTATCTTTTGGGGCTGCACTCGAAGAAATAATAAAAAGGAATGCCCTCTGTCCGTTTTATAGTGTATATGTGGTGGGTCAAAGAAAGCTGTCCACGCCCAGTTTTTCTCCCTGAGGGGTTCAATTAAAATGTCACGATGAACATCCCCGATCTTTTCATATGGGAGTTCACCCGGGGTTTGATTCTC